TCCCTTTCAAAAAAAGTTGTTACAGGTAGAAATTACCATAGCTTTTTTTTTTCTATTTAAAAAAATCTCCTGGTGCATCTTTGAAGGATAGCGTGGTGGCATTTTCAACAGGACACTTTTTCCAGTAGTTTGAACCATCACTGCAGGCTGGACTATAACTTTTTGGGGAGTTGGGGGTTGGGTGGAGAACAGGAAGAGGTAAAAGTTCAGCGAGTTCACTTTTCTCAACAGAAAACATGAAGCCAGCAGGGTTTTCTGTTATTGTTGTTATTTTACAAGGAGAATAAAACTGACTAGAAGGATTAGAACTTCCTGGCTTACTAATACATTTATCTGCATTTTTTCCTATCTTAATTATGGGAATAATTAAGATGCTGACCGAGATTACATGCTTTATAGAAGCAAAGTAAAACAAGACTAAAGCCAGAAGAAAAAGAGACCCAAACTGTGCAAAACATGGGTTTGTCTTTGGCCTGGTTTCAGGAAAATTGCAGAGTCCAGAAAATCTTGACTCATATCTTAAAAGGTGAACCAATGGTGTGTGAAGAGGGGATCCTGTGTCTTTTCTAATAAGAATACTGTATGCAATTCAGAGCTCCTTTGAAATCTGAAAGACCATGTTAGTTCTGTTTCCTGCAACCACCTGATTGTTGCCTATGAAGATTCTCAATCATTGAGTCGTGGTGCTTGCAGTCCAAATGGGAAGGGAGGGAGAGAGGGAGGAAGGAAAACCAGCATTGCTGCATGGGAGCTAAAATCTCTAGCCATTAATACATAAATATGTAGAAGACAAACGAGACTGAACCGCACTATCAGATCACAGGTGAGGCACATTAATGGCAAAATAATTTGGAATTCAAAAATGCATAATTTTCCTTATTGTAAATCTACTCCTGATATAATACTACACAGAGTTATTACCTGTACCTCTGCTACTATTCTGGCAGTAGCAGCCACCTCCTGTTTGATTTCAGAATGCTCTGAATAACACTAAGTGATCAGAGAACAAAGGTTAAATCTTTCAGGAGTCTTTCTTGCACAGACAGGCTTTGGGGAAATAAAAGAGATTTGTGCACAAGAAGATCCTAGAGGATCATGTTCCGATGAGAAGCCAAAACTGTCCCATCTTCAAGACTCAGGCACATCAAACAGAAGATCATTTTCTTCTCCAATTTCCATGGAAGTTAAGAACTTTTCATGGTCATGTTGATGCTTTAGAAAAAGAAAAGGAAGAGTCAGTACAATGGGTTGTTATTACATATGTATCCAGGACTTCCTCTAAGGAGCAAAGGGCAGAATACACATATAACTAGCCCTGCCCAGGCCCAGACATTACACATGACAAAACCTGAACCATCTCAAATATCATTTGAACTTTTACTCTTTTCTATATAAAGAACCTGGGAAAAAATCCAGCCTGTCAGATCGGATGAGATGAAGAGACATAATAGGAGAAAGGCAGGCCCATAAATAACCTGTGTCATGTAGAGTTTATAGATGACCACTATCCCCTTAAATTATAGCAGAAATGTACTGGGAGGTAGTGCAAGTTGTTAAGCCAGGGATCCCCAATCCCCGAGACATGGACTGATACCAGTCCACAGCCCACTAGGAAATGAGCCTCGCAAGCGAATGAAGCTTCATCTGGGCATGCATTGGTTCTAGGCAGGGGTGGGATTCTACAGGTTCGCACCTATTCGCTAGAACCGGTTGTCAACATTCTAAGCAGTTTGGAGAACTGGTTGTTAGAAGAAATTACTGGCCTAATCCTGTGAGGAAGGCAGGAAGGAAACATTCTGGTGTTGCTTATAGAAACTGCCTCTCTGTTAACCCTTATTACATTCTTGGCAGGACCAGATTTCCTGTCTCAGGAACTTCTCTGGAGTTTTCTTTCCTCTCCTTTGCTGGTACTTTGCTTGTGTGGAATGACCATTCAAAGTTACAATGGCACTGAAAAAAGTGACTTATGACCATTTTTCACACTTATGATTGTTGCAGCATCCCCGCAATCACGAGAAGTCAGGTGAGGAGATGCGTGCCTCGATGTGAGTGATGTTGAGTTGTCCATGCCCAGCCGGTCACATTACCACCAAGGCACGCCCACCAACAAACCACACCCACAGAACTGGTTGTTAAAAAAATTGAATCCCACCCCTGGATCTAGGGATGGTGTGAAACCCACACAAATATACACACAGTCTGTGAAGAAATTGTTTTCCACAGAACTGGTGCCCAAAAGGTTGGGACTGCTGTGTTAAACAATAGCATTATGTGGACTACCCTGCCTCACTGCATTCTGGACCAGCTATAGAGCTTCTGAATGGTCTTAAAGAGCAGCCCCATGTATACTGCATTGCAATAGTCCAGAACGAAAGTATGAGTAACCATGAGCAAAGTCTCTCTTTCTAGGAATGGGCATAAAGGGCCCATAAGATGCATTTGTGCACAGCTCCACTTACACTTTGAGGAGTAAGTTCAACATCAGAAAAATTCCCAAATTGTGCATTGGCTCTGATAGAGTGCGTGCATATCCATGGATGGAACTGGAAAATCTCTGGTCTTGGGACTCTAAAACCCATGCCACTTGGTCTTGCTAGGGTTAAGCTGGAGCCTGTTCTTCCCCATCCAGACCACACAGCTTCCAGGGAATGGGAAATGTAGTTTGGAAGCTTCATTTGGGCAGCACAGTGTAAAATGAGAATATATGAGTACTATCAACACACTGATGGTACTTAACCTTGTGCCAATGCTTGATGTTGCTCAGAAGCTACAGGTAAATATTAAACAAGAATGGGGAGAGAGTCAAGTTCTGCAGCACCCTGCAATGTGGAGGTCTAAAGCTGGATCTCTCCTTCTTCACCAACAGTGACAGGAACTGGCTGGAAAGGAAGAAAATCCAGTGGCCCCCTCACACCCACCATCCTTAGTAGATCCAGAAGGATATTCCAATCAATGGTATTGAAAGCTGCTAAGAGATCAAGAAGGATCAGGACAGATGCACTACCTATATCCTGTGCCTGCCAGAGATTATTCACAATTACAGTCCATGCCATGTCAGCAGTATAACCTAACTTGAAACCTGGCTACAAAGAAGAGGAAGTTGTAAAACGGAAAACTGTCCAACCCTATTGGATCTAGTGATGGCATCTTAGGGAATGAAACTGTTTCTTTCAAAATAGATGGAACTGTCCCTTTCTTAAAGAAGCATTCACCACCACATGGATTCCAAACATATCATTGCCTAGGAGGTCCTAACCAACTAGGTGAGATAAGGAACTAAAGACAAAAGGCGTGTCAGAATCACAAAAACTCTGCTCATGCTCACGTGACTCCCCCACACCACATGCCTCTGCGCGTGTGCATGCAACCCCCCCCTGCACACTGCATACCTCTGCGCAGGTGCGTGTGTCTCCCCTCACAAATACACAGCAGATACCCGACAATCAGCTGGCTAGCGGGGGACGTGCACACATGCGCAGTGGGGCTCTTCCGGGCGACCTCTCGTGTGCTGGCAGAAGTGGCTCTGCATGCCACTTCCGGCATGCATGCCATAGGTTTGCCATCACGGCTACAGAGCAAACGTTTATAAAAAAGCTTTCTTCCTCTAGTAGTAGTTACCATTATTGCACTTTTTATTAATGGATTAGTCCAAAGTATAATGCCATGCAATACCATAGCTGATAACAATTATTACCAATAATAGTCAATACACTGATCCTTTGGACTTTGGTCCCATTTTCAACTCAATAAAAGAAGAACAACTTTGTCAAAAATTAAAAGATTATCGTTGTAGATTAGAAGGATATTCTATAATTACAGTCTTTTAAGATTCTATAATTTACAGGCCTAATCACGATATTAATAATGGTATTGTCATAATTAACTTTCATGACCAACCAACTCTGGACATGATGCTTAATACCTCTTAGTTCCTTTACAAAATTGGGCTGAATAAAAATTTTAACAGTAGGACACCGCAACTGAAAACAATAGGACTTAATGAGTCATCTGAAGTCTAATTAAAAATAAGTACAGTCCTATCCAATGTTTCTCTTACAACTTGCAGAATAATAACTACTACCAGATTCATCCATTTATTGTTTTAACAATTAAACACGAATGTATATTTCTTCTAACATCATATCGCTTTCATAAACTATAAAAATGATACTGAACACATGCATAACACTTTTTATAAAAAAGATTTATGTACAGCAGTCCTCAACTTAAACCCTTAGCTTAGCACCTGTTCGAAGTTACAGCGTCACCTAAAAAAAAAACCCCACCCTATGAACAATCCTAACATTTACTCAAGTTCAGGTATTTAGAAGGGTTGCAGTGTCCTATTGGTCATTTTGTGACTTCCCCAGCTGGCTTCTGACAAGCAAAGTCAATGTGAGGGAAGCCAGATTCTCTTAACAATTGCATGATTCACTTAACAATTGCAATAATTTGCTTAACAACTGTGGCAGAAAAGGTGGTTAATTAGGGGCAAATCACTTAACAGCCGCTTTGCTTAGCAATGGGGTCTCACAATCATGGTCTTAAGTTGAGGATTACCTGTACTATTTGTTATTCAAACCACAAAGGCAAATGAAAATACAACCCTGTGAAAGATTTTACAGTGAATATAAAAGGTGACAGGACAAACAAAGAAGAAGGTTGGATAGATTCCAGAAAGATATAATAAAAAGGTTGTTTCATTAAAGCAAAGTTGCAAATTGTACCTATTGTCTTAAATTAGTAAAGTAAAAGTATTAACATAGACTTTAGTAGCCTCATAATAGGGTTATGTCAGGTGTTACATTTATAATAAACCTGGTAGCATTTTTATCTAACTTTATCTTTGTCAAAAAAATAACTTTTATCGAAACGTTTATCTGCTAGTCTAATCAGCCCATATAAGTATTTGGATCTCAGAGACTACCAACTTCTTCAATGTCTGTTGCATAATGTTATTATGAATAATACTCATAGACATTGGCTTGTTTATGAAATTCTTACTCCTGTTGGACTGAAGTTATTTCGGGCTCATTTGAAAGACAGCTTGCTCTGAAGGCAAGGAAAAATGAAAAATAATAAATACATTCTCGTTTGTTAGAGACAGAGATTTATAAATACATATTTACTTTAAAAGCAGAACAAAGGTATTTTCACAAGCAAAGTTTATTATATATATTATGATGTCATCATAAGTCATCAATGTTCATTAAGAAATGTCTCCCAAACAGTAAACGCAAAAAGTTTAGGTGGTAGAGTGTTATGATACTTTTCTTTCTCGATTCTTCTTCTTTTTTTGCTGTTCATAGCAGCAAATTAATTAGAATATTGAAATCAATTACTGTAAGAAGTTTCAAAAATAATTCATTTAAAGAATTTATAGTTGAAATTGCACTCCCATGAAAATGACCTTAAATAATCCTGAATGTACTTATAGAGACTTCTACTTGCCTAAGCATAAATAGGATCAGGCTATAAGACAGTCGTATGAATACAGCTTCATCCTTAATACTGGCTGGAAAATTTATCCTACAAAAATATACGTATATTAAACTATATTTTCTATGATTCAGTGAGCTGTTGCACTGATATCCATTATTACCGAATATAGCATTGGATATATGCTATAAGACAAAGCTTTAACTTTGAGTATGAGTATGAGATTATAATAGTTATGACAGATTTTCAACTGTTCTGAACAGCTTAGTTTATGCAATCTATCAAACTCTTGCTTGTAGTCATTATCAAGTGTACTAGGATTGTAAGCAGATAGGCAGCTCGCTAAAATTACTTTGGGACATGTTCAAAATAGATGCATCTTCACAATAATATATTGGAGTTCAACTTCACAGCAGCAACATATTCAAGCTTTCTGAAATGGCTGCTTCAATACATAAAGTTACCACTATAATTACATAATAAGGTAATAACATATGCATTTTTCAGCATGCTATAAAGCTCATGCAATTGACATTGGTACAGCCAGTCTAGCAAAAGATTATTTGGGCTTGCAGTAACTCAGTAGTGATTGGGTGTTGGTAAATTTACCTGTGAACGACCTTTCTATCTATGCTGCGAGAGAGCCCAGGATGGGTAGATTCCTTCTTATGATGTCATTAAGCTGAGTCTGTACTTATATATAAAAAGCCAGGCCCCGGGACTATCCCCAGCTTTGGCGAAGATACTTGACAGACTGAAGAAGTGTCTCTGAAAGCAAACAATCCAATACATTAACATTCCTTACCATCTCCGGACGAACCAGGGGAGGAGCTGGGCTCTCTCGCAGCATAGATAGAAAGGGCGTTCACAGGTAAATTTACCAACGCCCATTCTCCTCCATGCTGCAGCAAGAGCCCTTGCATGTCCATGGGCAGGTCCTCGTCCGGCCAATCACTCCAACAGTGAAACCACTTGCTGAAGAACCCATCTGCCAAAAGCCGCTGGCGCCAAGGCAAAGGAATCCAGAGGGTAATGTCTGATGAAGGGAGACAGGGATGTCCATGTGGCCGCTCTGCAAATCTCTTCCAAGGACGCCTGGGTGGCCCAAATGGCTGTAGTGGCTGCACTTCTGGTAGAGTGCGCCGTTAGACCACAGGGTACTGGAAGAGCCACCACTTTGTAGGCTTGTGCGATGCACGTCCTGACCCACCTTCTAATATTAAGGGAACAGGCCTTGTTCCCCAAGTGAGAAGGGGAAAACGAGACAAACATGGCTTCTGTCTTTCTAAAAGGGGAAGTGTGTTTGATGTAAATTCTAAGAGCCCTTCTGACATTTAGAGTATGCCACTTGCGCTCTAAGTCATGGTGTGGAAGGGGACAGAAGCCAGGTAACACAATGTCTTGGGATCGGTGGAATCAAGTGTTAACCTTTGGGATAAAGGAGGGGTCCAGACGGAGAACAACCCTATCATTGTGAAAGGTGCAAAAATCCTGCCTGATAGAAAGGGTGGCCAATTCTGACATCCTTCTGGCCTAAGTGATAGAAACGAGGAAAACTACCTTTAGAGTTAGGAATTGGAGAGACACTGTTCTAAGGGGTTCATACGGGGGCTTTGTAAGGGCATTAAGAACCAAGTGAAAGTCCCATGAAGGATACCTGTGCACCACAGGAGGGTGTAGGTTGGAAGCCCCTTTCAAAAATCTCCTAACTGAGGGGTGATGGGACAAGGAAGGAAGTGAACTCCATGAAAGAACTGAGAACCGCTACCTGGTGACATAAGGTATTGGGAGCTAAACCTTTCTCCAAGCCATCCTGAAGGACTCTAAGAACCTCTGCCAACTGGGCTGAGGAAGGAGAGAGACCCTCCTTGAGGCACCATTGGGAGAAAACCCTCCAGGTGGCATCATAGAGGCACCTCGTAGAAGGTTTGTGAGACGCCTGCATGGTGAGGATAACCCTCTCTGGGAGCTTAGCCTCCCTTAGCCGCTGCTGCTCAAGTGCCACACGGTCAGCTTGAGCCACTGAGGCTCCAGATGGGTCAGGGCTCCTTGGTGCAGGGAGATGGGTTGGGCCAGGAATTCTCCAAGGGGAAGCCACAGACAGGTTGACCAGGTCCGCAAACCAGGGCCTCCTTGGCCAATAGGGTGCCAGGAGAATTAGCTCTGCTTGTTCTGCCAACAGCTTCCATATGACCACCAGAATGAAGGGAAGAGGGGGAAAGGCATAGAGGAGACCTGCAGGCCATTTGCACCGAATCCCATTGGTCCCCTCTGCTCCCTGGCAAGGAAACCTGGTGAAGAATCTGTTGATGAGCATTTTGAGGAGTGGAGAAGAGAACCCCCTCTGGAGTTCTGAATCTGAGGGAAAGATCCCTGAATAGGGACGGAGGAATGGACCATTCTGCCTGGTCGACTAAACTCCAATTGGCTTGGGAATTGTGGACTCTGGAAATGTGATCCTCTGAAATTGTCAGCAGGTGTTTCTCTGCCCATAACCCCAAACGTTCTGCCTCTCTCATAAGTGCCTTGGATCTTGTTCCCCCTGTCTGTTGACATGTGCCTTTGCAGCCATATTGTCCGTTAACACGAGAACATGGGAGTGACGATAGAAATTCCAATTGTAGCCCTGACCTAACAGTGTTGAGTACCCAGGAATCCATCATTGACTCCTCCCATTTGGAGGCAAAGAAGGCTAAGCGACCTCCGATGGGTGGGGAGAACGAGGTATTACTTAGAGCGACGGAAGGCATGACCCCTCCCCCCCAAAAGTGCCATTTACCAGCAGAAGGTTGTTGCCTGCCAAGTGGTTCTTGACGTTGGTCCTGGTGTTGAGAATATGCCCTCTGTGGCTGAGGAAAGCAGGAGGTGGACTCTGCTCAGAAGGCAGGTGGGCGATAAGGAGCTGGGCGATAGTCAGCTTTTTTCCCCAAGGAGGAAAGAATTTTAAGTTTATCTCTGGTCTCAATGAGATACGGGTCTAGAGCCTCGCCAAAAAGCTTGTCTCCTGCACAGGGGGCAGAAGCCAGTTTCCGTTTATGGCGTGACTCCACCTGCCAATTTCGGAGCCACAGAAGCCTTCTTGCCGCCACCAAAGATGCCATGGCTCTTGATGCAAATTTGGCGGAATTGAGGGTGGCATCCACAGTGAATTCCGCCACTGCTCTAATTTTGTTAAGGTCATGATGAGATCTGAGGCAGGCAACTGGTCCTGCAGTTGGTGCAGCCAGCATAGAGATGCCCTCATGAAAAACGATGCAGTGGTCGAAGTTCGAACAGCCCACGCAGCTGCTTGGTGGTTGCGCTTGAGGGTCTGTTTGGAACACTTGTCCTCTGGTTTAAGTACATCCTCTGGCTCAGTGGGAGTGCCAGAAGTGGAGAATGATGCCACAACCAGAGTGTCTACTGAGGGCACTGCAGGTGTGTTGGCTAGGGATGTGCTGAAATAGTAGAACCGCTTGTCCAAAGATGATGGACGAGGACCTGCCGAAGGGGAAGCACACTGTTCCTTGACCATGTCGAGAAACAAAAGGGGAGAAGGCAAAACCTCTGTGTGTACTACTGGCTTGGAGAAGAGCGGGTCTCCTTGCTCGGAGGGTTCCCCTTGTGGTTCAAGTGCTTCTTCCTCAGGTGACAGCCTGGCAGTGACCAAGGCCTTGCTAAGTAAGGGTTTAAAGAGGGCTGGTTTAAAGACTTATGCAGAAGAGGGCTGATCTGGACAAGAGTCTTCTTCCTCTGAAACATTGCAATCACAGATTTCACCCTCTTCGCGCTCTGAACGAGAGGAGCAACTGTGTTCAGATGGGGAGGCACCCTCTTCCCTTTCATACTCCTCCCATTCTGCCTGTGAAGAATAGACCCTGATGTCTTGGGGTCTGTGGAAATCTCATTGCGGAGGTAAGGAAGCCATATACTGAGAAGGGAGAAGGGCCTGAACCCTTTCCAGAGGCTGAAGAATCTGTTGAAAACCTTCAGCCAATCCCCGTCTAGTGGCTAAGGAAACAACATCTTGGATCTCCCTGGGCCTGTTATCAAAGGTAGTGGAGGCCTGAAGGCCAGCTGCAGTGGGCATGAAGGTGGCTTCCAGCCTGATCTGGGAGGCCTGGACTCTGGGGGGAAGAGAGGGGGCATAGGACCCAGAAGTTTGCTGGAAATATGGCCCAGACCTGCTGAAATCCTGAGGATCTAGTTGTTCCTCAAATGCCTCAGGGGACCAGACCGGAGGGCAGGGGTCCAAAGGCTCCATGAACAACTTTCCCTCCTCTGGGGGGGCTTCTCTGGAAAGCCTGATGTTCGGCTGGCTGGAAAGCCTATTGCAGTTGCCCTCTCATTTGTTGAATAGTCTTGTTAAATTGCCTCTCTAGAGCCGCATGTCTCCGTTTCTCTGCCTTTAACTCAACCTGAGTTGTCTTCTTAGGGGCTAGAGCCTTAGCTCTGATTTTTGCAATAGGTTGTCTGTGTCTTTTCCTTTTAGTGGGTTGGAGGGCCTGTTCCACTGGGGGTGGGGGAAGCTCTGCATGAGCACTGTCCTGATCCATTTTAAATTAAACAAGGCTCAAGTGTTGAGAGAATGGCTCTCAAAAGTGCTTAAGGATGGCAGAGGGTGGAATTGGGTCTTTGGAGCCCTGAAAATGGCCACTGGGCCACTTAAAATGGCCGCTCACCACATGTCTGAAGAGACTGCACTCCAAGATGGCTGCTGCTCATCGATGGCTCCGAGAAGAATTTTGCTCCTTAGGCTATTGCGAGCCCCGAGCGATCAGATCAGCCAGAGAATGAAGAGATTGCTGCCCATGCAATCAGCGGGTTGGCTCTGTTATCAGTTTGCCGATCAGTTTTACGATCGGACAAACTGTGGCTGTGGGGAAGGTCTCAGACGCTTCCCTGCTTGCCTAGCAGCACTTGGGAAAACGTTGCTCTCAGCCTTGCAGGAGAACGGAGCCCCGCTCTCCTGAAGTTGCAGCTGCCCGGATCCCCAGGAGCTGATTGAAGCAAGGGTAGCTTCTGTAGAAAATCGCTGAATAAAACGCTAACGCTTTCAGAGACACAGCTTGTGATTTAAAGAAGCTGAGTCAAAGCTGGGGATAATCCCAGGGGCTGGCTTTTTATATACAAGTACAGACTCCGCTTAATGACATCATAAGAAGGAATCTACCCAACCTGGGCTCTCGCTGCAGCATGGAGGAGAATCTTTCTGTCAGTCAATTTTAATAAATTCAATTCAGTGATCTTTAGTGGATATAATGAACAAAATCTGGACTTTTGACAAGAAGAAGCTTTGCCCCAGGTAATAGACAAACAGTGTTATGAATGACACAACAATTGTATATTTGAACATTATGTTCATTTTATGTACAGCTACATATATTTTATAATTTTTAAAAGATATAGATTATATGTGTGTTTATATATGAAAAATTCAGCATGTAATGAATATTTGACTCAAAAACTCATTTCCCCATCAGTCCATTAAATGGAGAGTTCTATGTAATGCTATGCCTCTCTATCCTTCTACATAAAATCAATCTTCATCATAATGTAAATTCCTGGGCATCAGTGGAACTATGTTCTCTAAAAATATCATCCGTTTTCTTAAAGGGGCCTAGATTGATATAAAATATATAAATGGCACCATTTTATCATCCCATCTGCCAAATGTCCTATCCAACTCGAGCCTAGACAATTAATAGGTAATAACTTTCACCCAAAGAAAAAATGAGCAAAATTATTGTTTTAAAGAAAAACTCTAAAGCTGATAGAAAACACATTCATTTAAGAAATAAATAACCATATACTCTAGAATCCCCTTTCAAGTAAATTTCTTTGAATATAATCTGCATTTTCATTTGTAAGATATAGTGCATTATGGATTTTGGTGACATAAAGGCAGTAAGTGGATGCATTCAAATTAAAGACAACTTTGTTTGTTTTTAATTCACTTGTAAGATTCCTTCTTTACCCTCAACTGCCTGTATTTTGGCAACTTCTCCAGCCTTAATATCTCCAGGTTATTGGAAAGTTAATATTATTGAATATTGGCAGCCACTGAAAGTGGACTTGGAACATACAAAGCCTTAGGGATTACCAATTGTGCACCATGTCCTAAAAATAATATTTTATTTAGCAGTTATGATTAGACTGAACTACTGCTGAAGTACAATTCCCAGGACTCCCCAGGCCACTCTGCAGAAATGCCATTGAGAATAGTGAATATTATTCCTATGTAATATTATGTAGCAGTAATATTCCCTATTCTAATGACACTCTGTGTAGTCCCGTATAGAATTAATATGAATTTTCTTAATAGTTAATCCTTTTTAAGAATGAAAAAGGAATATAGTTTATTATCAGAATTCTGTCTTACTTTGCTGATGCCTCCTTGAGCTCTTCATCCAGTCTGTATGAGTAAAGGTTATTGGTGAAGGAGAAGAAGCAAGCAGAACATAAAATAGAAGCGGGGAAAAGCAGAATGTCAATCAAGCAAGGAACATGCTTTTGAAATTATGCACCAACGAAGTATTTTTTTCTAATGTGTTACCGAATTTTATTTCATATGTATGTATGTATGTATGTATGTATGTATGTATGTATGTATGTATATATTGTCCATGTAGGCAGGTCTTGTAAAACTAGCAGGAGTTTGCAGCATGCATGCTGTGCAAAGCTGACAAAGTGATTGAAGTTAAATCCAGAACAGGCCAAATTAAGGAAATTTATAACTGATCTCAATAGCTCATGTGTGACATTCATTACAGAGAGCTACGGGATCTTTTTAAATGTCAGCTGCTGAAATCCTATATCGCCTCACATATCCTCAGTCATTTAAAAACATCAGCACAGGCTTCAGCAGAGCAAGGGTTTTACCTTACTCTTCTCTGAATGGATCGTTCCTCATCATACCTTTCAAGATAAAAGTGGGTAAAGGACAAACATACACAAGGTCAAATAATATGCAGACATTATATTTGTGCCAAATGTATCACCTTCACATCGCAAGGAGCTATTCCCAAGGTTAAGTTGAAGTCCCACTTGTGACTGTATGACTGTAACTTTGTCGCTTGTTTCCTTACGATTTTTATTGACTGTTTCCTAGTATGATTTGATTGCTTATTGTACTCTATGACTATCATTAAGTGTTGTACCTTATGATTCTTGACTCTTGACGAATGCATCTTTTCTTTTATGTACACTGAGAGCATTTGCACCAAGATAAATTACTTGTGTGTCCAATCACACTTGGCCAATAAACAATTCTATTCTATTCTATCTATTCTAAGTGTGGAGTCAGCACTGAGGCTCTTGTATATGTATCTCGTGTCAATGCAAATTTAAACTACAATGTCTATAGTATGATCCTTTGGACCTTATTCAACAGGCTTCAGACTTGCTTTGATATTAGTGGGTTGGCATGTTCACACTGAGAACTACTATGCGCACTGGGAGAACTGGTAAAACCATGAAATGTTCTGGATTTTCCCCATCTTGGATCTGTCTAGCTACATTGAACTAATATCCTATCATCCTTAGCAATTCCTGAAAGTTTTCAACAGGGGAATAATTTATACAGCATACAGTACCCAAACCAGAAACAGTATCCAAAACATCAGTGCTCAGAACATGAATACTTTGAGAATTTCATCTCCACTTTCTGTGATAAAATATATTCCCATTCTACAATGTCTTGTGCAATTCTCAAAAATATTTTGAAAACATTTTTTTTACTCACAACAGATAATATGAATAAATTATTGAAGTAATAACACATTGGAATATGTTCTTAGGTCTTTCACAGAATCATTGAGTTGACAGATACCAAAGAGACCACCTAATGCTACTTAGTGCAGGATCTACAACAACATCTTGATTAACAATTAGCCAGCCTCTGTTTGGAGACTTCCAGTAAAAGAAAACTCACCACTTGGTGTAGATGGCAACCTGTTGCTTGATGAACAGTTGATGTAGTCATGAGTTTCTGCCAACATGTAACCTGAATTTACTTCCTTATAGTTTTAACTAATTGGCTCTGGCCCTTCTCTTTGGGGTAATTCAGAATGAGATTACCGATTCAACCTTCAGATATCTGAAAAGTGCTTTCTTAGCTTCTCTCAATCACCTCTTCTATAGGAACTTATATAAATTTATTCTGATTTCTTAACTATTCCTCTTTTGTTTTCTTGGCCTGGCTTTCTTTATACCACAAAGAACTAGATTATAATTTAAATAGTGTTTTTAAATATGATAAACAGGATAAACTATTTCTAGTGCTATTCAGTTTTAATCACCACTGAATATTTTTTAAATATTATATATTATTTAGATAAAATTAACTTTCCCTAAAAATAGCAATCCTTTTATAGAAGTAACTTATTATTATTCTCCAAATGCTCTTCACTTACTTGACAATACTTTCTGGGACATTTACATATTCCATTGGAATTAGTTCATTAAGGTCTGCCAGAGTGTTGACGTACTGTATCTTATTACTGAATTTTGAACTGAAAAAACAAAAAGCACAATTCACTGGTTAAGCAATATGGATAAAATAAAATATAAAATTCAGCTCCATGTCAACTAATAAGCTACTAAATTCCCGGCTAGGCTAGGAATGATCTTATATATCTAGTCATTTATGACTGGTCCTCACATTTACAACAGTTGCAGCATCCCAACGTGATCAAAATTTGGGCATCTGACAACCAGCATGTATTTACAATGGTTGCGGTGTCCTAGTGTCATGTCATTGCCATCTGCGATTTTCCCAGTCAGCTTCTGACAGGTAAAGTCAATGGGGGAAGCTGGGTTTGTTTAACGACTGCATGATTCCTTAACAACTTTGGTGAAAAGGTCGTAAAATTAGGTGTGACCCATTTAATAACTGCCTTGCTTAGCAATAGAAATTTTATGACAGTAAGTCAAGGACGACCTGTACTGTCTTCAAATTTCAGCAAACATTTTTTTTCAGTGCTATACACTCTAAATCAATTACTTAATTCAGGATTATCAAAGTATAGGTCGGTAATTCTTTGGGGCTCATGAGTTGTTTAGAAGAAGGATGACAGCATTTTTTAAAAACCTGATTAACTTGTGTAGAAAAAGAACAAGCACTCATTTTGCCTGCACCAACCTATTAAATACTGCATAAATTATTCTGTGATAATGCCATATATAGAAGTTAAAATGTAATTATTATAAGAAAATGATAAATTTACTTTTTGTTAATGTTACCCATGGTAAAATTACACAAATATATTTATCATTTTAGAGAGCCACATCAGGGCAAAGCTGAATCAGAAGCTGTTTCTTTACTTCCCCAATTGCTTATCTTGCGATCAAAGCAGTTCCTGATCATGTGAAAACTCAGCATTTTAGAAAGTCCAAAAGTGACCGACCTTATAAATGGCCTTGTGACAGCTAGAATTGTCCTTATAAACCAAGAAGGGTGAACTATGATGAATGATTTCAAATTCTTCCTTAATCTGCATTTAAAAAGAAAGATTACCAATTAACAGACTTGGAAGGGACATTGTAGGTCATCTAGTTCAACCCCCTGCCCAAGCAGGAGACCCTACACCACTTCTGACAGATCGCAGTCCAGTCTTTTCTTGAAAGCTTCCAGTGATGAAGCTCCCACAATTTCTGAAGGCAAGCTGTTCCATTGGCTGATTGCTCTCACTGTCAGAAATGTTTTCCTTATATCCAGGTTAAATCTCTCCTTGTTCAGTTTCCATCCATTATTCCTTGTCTAGCCTTCAGGTGCTTTGGAAAACAGCTCGTCCCGCTCCTCTCTGTGGTAGCCCCTCAAATATTGAAACACTGCTATCATGTCTTCCCTGGTCCTTCTCTTCAGTAGACTAGCCATGCATAAGTATAAGCCGTGCATAAGTAGCATGCATAATGGGGCGTGCATAAGTGCACCAATGTGCCTACCGTCCCTGTCCTATTGTTTCTTTTTTATTCGTATCCATTTCATGTATTCATAACCATACTTATACCTGTTATCTAATACTTGCTTGACAAATAAATGAATAAAATAAATAAATGCTCAGTTCCTGCAACTGTTCATTGTATGTTTTAGCCTCCAGTCCCCTAATCATCTTGGTTGCTGTTCTCTGCACTCTTTCTAGAGTCTCAACATCTTTTTTATAGTGTAGTGACCAAAACTGGATGCAGTATTCTAGGTGTGGCCTTACTAAGGCTTTATAGAGTGGTGTTAGTATCTCACTTGATTTTGATTGTATTCTTCTGTAAATGCAATTTAGGATTGTATTGGCTTTTTTGGCTGCCGCCCCACACTGTTAGCTCATAGTTAATTGGTTGTCCACTAAGATTCCAAGATCCCTTTCACAGTTACTGCTATTAAGCCTGCTTTCACCCAATCTATATGTGTATTTTGGTTTTTTCTTGCCTAAGTGTAAGGCTTGACTTTTCTCTACATCGAATTTCATTTTGTTAGATAAGGCCCAGTGTTCAAGTCTGTCAAGATCCATCTGGATCTTGAGCTTATCATCTAGGGTGTAGGCTATTTCTGCCAACTTAGTATCATCTGCAAATTTGGTAAATTCCCCTTCTATTCCCTCATCTGTTTATGAAGATGTTGAAGAGTACTGGGCCTAAAATACTTTGTCTTCAAAATGAAACACATTTATTGAGAAAATGATAGTCACATGCTCAGCAAGTATAGCCATTATCACACACAGATTCACATACTTTTGGCATACATTCTAAAATCTTCTCAATCTTCATAATACAAGGAACAGCTTGCATTTACAAAGAATGGGGCAAGAGGATTTAAAATGGTAAATAGACTAAGAAAATAATAATTAGAAAATATAAGTGATCCACAAACCGCCTGTCAATCATCTGGTAACATCTTTTCATCCATCCAAGTCCCGGCATTCTTCTCCTTGGAGTTGCTCCATTTAAGTAAACAATCATATAGTCTTCAGCAACCATGAGCTCCAAAGTACTTATTACATATCTCATAAAAAAAAAAGAAGAAAAAGAAGTGGGAAGAAACAATATTTTCATAAGCATTTGTTTTCCTTTTAAGAACCTACGCCAGTATTTTTTAACCTTAGCAACTTTAAAATATTAACTTTAAAACATGTGGAGTTCAACTGGCTGGGGAATTCTGGGAGTTGAAGCTCACATATCTTAAAGTTGTTAAGGTTGAGAAACACTGCCCTATGTGTTAGCACTTAAGCAAATACATAATTTCCAGAAACAAAATTGGCAGTTGAGGAAGTTCTTTATTAAAAGTGTAATTCCACCCCTAGGCTATGTAACCTACATAGTACAGGTCATACTGTCACTTCTTTGGAAGTGTGAAATATTTAAATAAGAAGCCCATGCTAATTTTACTCTTCAGGGCATGAAAACTGCAATACAAGTAAATGTCTGTGCTCACGCCTCATTGCCAGAGAATTTAGGAGCATTTCTGGGACAGGATTCAAAGCAAGAACATAGTCTGAAAATTCAGACAGAACTCTTGACCTATGTGGCTTTCCCACAATGTGAAATTATAGTTTTACAGATAGTCCTCAACTTACTATCATTTGTTTAGCAACTGTTCAGTCACAACAGCAGTGAAAAAAAGTGACTTATGACCATTTTTCACACTTACAACCACTGCAACCATTTCCATGGTTACATGATCAAAATTCAAATCACAGCAACTGGTTAATATTTCTGACGCTTGCAGTGTCCCAGGATAATTTGAGCACCTTTTGCGACCTTCTGACAAGCAAAGTCAATGGGGAGTTCATTTAACAATTGAATTACTAATTTAACAATTGCAGTGGTTCACTTAATAGTTGTAGCAAGAAAGGTAATAAAATGGGGCAAAATTACTTAACAGCTGTATTGCTTATCAACATAAATGTTGAGCTCAATTGTGGTAAGCTGGAGACTATTTGTATTATGGAATTATACAGGACTTCAGCCATGGAAGGTTAGCGGCAGTGCAAGTAAATATCAAGGCTCAATTCACCCTTAACTATGGCAAAGCAGAAATCACTTCCCAGTGGCTTCTTTCCATTGTAGTACATTTTATTTTATTTCATTTCATTTCTACAAACCAAATTTCTGTTTGCCTCAAAAGAATTGAGCAAGAAATGAACTCATTTCAACTCTGCACTTATCTCTTAATGAAAATCATCATATCTATTTCACCACATAAAAGAGTTTTACTACAAAATTTCCACACTTACAGGAAAAGGTTTTCCATGACATACGTATAATCCGTTTGACTGCTATCTGGTAGAAAACATGCAGCAAATACAATGATGGCATTCAAGCCATCACCATAGTATCCTGTGGAGTCAAAAATATATGTTTCACAAACAGTTCTAACACAATAGAATTGGCAGGCTTTGTAACCAATTGAAGCCCCCTATTACCAGTTGCATAATTCAAGGTAACATTTTAATGAGAAAAACAACCTGGGAAACTCAATGCAAAGTATTCAACAACACTGAACCATAGTCAAAGCTACTTCCAAACCGAAATGTCTTATGACATCCTCCTATTTTGAAGTAAGAATTTCCCAGGTGAAGTTTCTCATTTGGAGAATTGATAGCTGCATCTGTTATTAAAGTCTCAATTCAAAATAATTCTAGAAATTATTAACTCTAGTAAATAAGTAGAATAAATGAAACAAAAATGGAAAGAACAGATGCTAGTCCTGAAAAGCTTGAACTCATAGAGTTCTGCCATACCTACAGGGCCCTGCCCAGATCCATAGGCCTGTTCACTCATCAGGCAATCCATAAGAATTGCCTAAAGCTGGATGAAACTCTTAGAAGGCTGGCATAGAGATACTGCTGATATAAACCACTACTACACATTCCATATTGGGCCTAAATTACAGCAGTTAAACACTGAAAAAGAAAGAACTTTTCTCTTTCAAGACATGTGTTCTGCTACAAAATAAGTACAAAATCCTAGTCTCAGCACATCCACACCTGGTCAAAACATACTGGTTTAAATGACATGTAGGGAGAAACTTGCAGTAATAGACATCTTTAAACCATACCTTATAATACCCTCAGTAAATCTGGCTATGCTTGTGATTGCACATTGTATTAAACCATATTCTTTTTCAACCATGAATTGTTGAACAAACCACAATGGCTGGATTCAGACATCATACTAAGCTACAGAGAAGTGATAGCCCTCATTTCTAACTGAAGATTATGATGGGTGTATTGGAGCTGGGCTGGGTTTAATTAAAAACAAATTAATTAAATAAAATCAATACACTATTCTTATATTTTAATTATTTCTCCTTTGGAGACAGCTTCTAGAAATTCTGAAGCTGTCCAAGTAGCTTTCATGGGCCATATGCTGCTGTGGGTGTTTACACTCTACCATAAACTATGGTATACAAACCACGGCCGGTTTTACACCATATATTAAGTTCAAAGCATTCAATATGATGAAATGTTCCTTTACAGGCCTGGAGTTGTACCATGAACACTGAATATACTGTATTTTCTTCTCTCATTTTTTTCTTTTCTAAGCTGCTTTCCTTTGGAAGTGTAAATCAGAGATCTGGAAACTCATGCCCAGAATAAAATGATTTAATGACTCATCAACTCACATACTTCAGATCAAAAGCATTCTGTTGTTACAGATACATTACAGAGTTTTCAGTAGTGAAGGAATTCATTCACTGATTCTGTTTTATTCAAAGGAAACGTATTCTACATTTATGTCAGATATGCAAGACCATTTACAATTAGGATATTTTCAAATGTTTTCTAATTATACTAGTATAATTAATAAATCTTATATATTTTTTCTGTACCTCCATGAGAAATAACCTTTTTAAAAGGTTCAATTGCTTTCATATCGATCCTCTGTTCCTGGTCTCCAATAACAACAGTTCTCCATAACTTGTTGTCTTCCCGTTCCTCTTCAGCAGTATATTCTGGGATGGATTCAGATTCTTCTTGAGAAGGTTCTTTAACGGGTGGTTGCTCTTCTGAAAATACAGGAATAGAGGATTTAAATAAGCAGTCATTAATATAAGAAAAGCCTGTTTCATTCAGTAAGAAAACTGAATTTCTGAGTTCAACTCTGAAATCAATTGTACAATTAACTAAATGACATTATTCTCAAAAGGAAGTTCCATGAATAAGTGTTCTTTTTGAACTTTACTGTAGTACATCATTTTCTATGTATGTAGATATGTAAATATGTGTGTGTGTGTGTATTTATTGTTTTCTGATATTTCCCATTCATTTTCTGAATATAAAATTAACTTAAAAGATTTAATTTCTTGCATGTTCACCTGGTAGGGTTTTGCGATCTGTGATATTTGTGGTTCAAGACTATAAATCTGAAATAACCCTAACTTTCCATCAATGGAAAGTTTTTGCACTTTTTCTGAGCTCTAAAGGCTGAGGAATTCATAATTCATTATATAATAACAAATAAATTCCAAGCTTTTGGTTACTGCAATAATCTTTGTTACATTAGAATAACAATCTTACAGATATTAAATTAAATTAACCCTCTTCCATTTAATCCTTCTAGCATAATGAAGTTAATAATCAACATATGTTGGATTATTTGCAGGAACAATATAATCTGTGAAAAAATCATTGGAGAGCCAAATAATAAAGAAGAATTTACATACTAAATAGTTTTTAAAAAGACCTTTGCTGGTATTTAAAATCCTTTGGCATGATGGAAAAAGAGAGAAATCCATAGTTCTAAAACAAAACACGTATTACATTTTAGGATTGGGGTTAGATAATATATAAGTATCATAGCTGCATACCAGAATGTATCCTCCAATGTTTACCCTTGCACCTGGAAATCTTTAAAAATAACTGAACTAGAAATTATCCTCAATATTACAATTTTTCCTGCTATCCAATTAAACAGATAAACATTTAATCTTTCAAAAATATTGTATACAAATAACCAACAGCTGGTTCTACAATTTGATAACAGTCTACATCTATCTATACTCTGTGTGTGTGTCTGTGTGTGTGTGTGTGTGTGTGTGCTGCTTTTCCTTAGAGCTGTTTATTCTTATACTGCACATCTGTCTTCATGACCTGACAGCTAGGTCCCTAGAGAATTGTAAAATTTCATGCCAAAGTATACAACCCCCCCCCCCATAAACACACATAGGTAATTGCTGCAAATTCACTTTTACCAAATTAAACTCATTACCATGTCCAGCATATTCTAAAGAATCTGCTTCATCTGGTGTGTCAAGATCATCTACATTAATATCGATTTCATCTGGAGTGTCCAGGTTCTCATCAGAAAGGACAGATCCTTCACTCTGGTCCAAAGAGAGATTGATATTTGGAGCAGTGAGCTTTATCCTTCTGGGATGAGATCCATTAAGGTCTAGCGAATTAGGAGGTTCTGAATAAGCACAAAAAGAGAAGAATCTCTGTTTTAGATTAAAACTATGACTCCAAATAACATTTAAATTAATTTGACTTTTGAAAAATTACTCAACCTATCTAATAGTTGTATGTGACTCCAGAAAACAAAAATAGGCCTAGGTTCACCTGGATTCACCTGGATCAGAGGTCTCCAAACTTGGCAACTTTAAAACTTGTGGACTTGAACTCTCAGAATTCTCCAGCCAGCATAGCTTACAGTCTTAAATAAATAATTCTTAAAAGTTGCCAAGTTTGGGGACCCCTGACCTAGGTGAAGAGCTTAATGGTGTGGAAGGAATGAGGTACCAACCTGAGTTACCCTATCTTGCTTTGCCAAGGATCTTCTCCCAATTATCAGGATAAATTACACCATTTGTTCTGATAGATGAACCCATTTCAAAGAGAAGAGGAACAAGATTCTTTTTTGTTAACCCAAAAAGGAAATGTTTCAATTAGGTGATTTTCCCTGCTACATCTCCCTTGACTGGTATTTGTCTTGAAGCCCACATCAGCTACAACAATGGACCAATGGAAGCAGTGAAGGTCCAAAGTGAAGTAACACAGCCACTTCATCCTTAGAAATGCATGGGCTGCTTCACTGCAGCCTTCATTATTGCAAACTATTCTTATGTAGACATGGACCTAATAATTAATAGCAGATACAGAAGACACTGTATTTACAAGTCAAATAAGGATAACATTTCAATTGGAGCAGAATGCTGTTGCCAGCCAACCTGTGTCTATTTTTGTTACTTCTGATAAGGCATCAGTTGCCCTCTAATTAACAGAACAAATATGAAGATTTTATACACAGCTGTAAAATCCACCTTCCCTGGTGCTAATATTATATTTTTCCTGGAACATGATTATTCATATCTTGGGCAGTTGCCATTTATATCTTCCCTGGTCTTGGATGTAATGCAATGGCTGAGGAATAATCTAATATGTCAGACTTCTTTTCTAACTGATGACACCTTAGGCAGCAATTTTAATTGTGTTGTTTTCACTGGTAAATAGAAGCTAAATCTGTACAGGCTGAAGTGAAGAAAGCGAGTGTACCTAATTAGCATATGCAGCAAGTTCATTTGCAGCCTAATGAAAATTAAACACGGTGGAAAGTGGATGAGAACTGCAAATGATGATCAAAGAAACCATGGAATTAATTAAATATCAAAATTAAGCTGATTTTATTCCAAATAAATAAATAATAGTATCACAGTACAGAAATAGTTCACTCAGTGAATAATTAAATGCCCCAGGAGAGAATGAAAATTTAAGAAAAACAATTAAAATGTAGGCTCACCAGGTCTCATCTCTATTGAAGTGGAATCTAGCATGGCCTTATTAAGGATATCCATTCCCACATCCTCTGGTACCAATCTAAAACATCAAGACAAACACATATGTTGTTGTTTTCCATATTTGAAGACTCAAAAAACTCTAAGTAAAGATTTAACTGTTCTCAATATGCCCAAGGGGAAACAGATGCAGAGACCTGAAGAAATTTGAAGACAATTTGGCTTTGTTAAAGAATACAGACTTTTTGACATGATTAAGTTTCAAAAGAGATTATTCTGTCTCCAAACTTCAGTATTTGCATGCAAAATCAATTATATTTTTTCTGACAATGAAGACTGTCTTGGAAAATTCTACCACAAATGAGCAATGTGTTTTGTTCTGAATATCCCTGCCAGTTGTTTCTTTCCACCCTTCACTTTGTACAGAATAATAATAATTGCATTATTCCAACCATTCTGCACAGTTGCAGTCTCCATACAGATCTGCTGTTAAATAAGACACACATCCTCTCCATATGCACAATGCATCCGTGTTTCAACATTTCTCCAGCTACACCAGCTACACCTGCAGCCTTATGAAATGCAAATCTTGCATGGGAGCATACTCATCTTTTAGTTGAAGCAGCAGCCAGTGTCCTGAAGTCTGTAAGGGGCGTGCATAAGTGCACCATCATGCCTCCCGTCCCTGTCCTATTGTCCCCATTTATTCGTACCTATTTCCTGTATTCTTACTCATGTTTATACTTATACCTATCATCTTGTAAATGACTGACAAATCAAATAAATAAAATAAAATAATAAACCATAGGATACTGAGACTATCACAACTGTACAAGAGCCGAAATCCAAATCACGTGGCTGCAGGGACAAGTGATAGCTGCAACTCTGAAGACCACTTATAAATGTTCTTGATCATCACTGGCATAGCTTTGAACGGTCACTGAACAAGTAGTTGCTAAGAAAGGATTGTCTGTACTTCTTTCATAATTGTGAATGTAGAGAAACTCAATTTCAAAAGATTCAGACACTGAAAATGTTAAGGAATTTAATTCATCCAGGAGATAAGTTTGGAGAATCAAACCCTGAGGAGCCAGTCAGAAAGGATGATTTTTCCTCTCATATGGATTTTTTATAAGAAACAGCAAGAATTAGCCTATGAGCCTCAGTGGCTCAGTGATTAGACTGCAGTACTGCAGGCTACTTCTGCTGACTGTCGGCTGCCTGCAATTTGGCAGTTCAAATCCCATCAGGCTCAAGGTTGGCTCAGCCTTCGATCGTTCTGAGGTGGGTAAAATGAGGACCCAAATTGTTGGGGGCAATATGCTGACTCTGTAAACCGCTTAAAGAGGGCTGTAAAGCACTATAAAGCAGTATATAAGTCTAATTACTATTGCTATGAGCCCAGCTGAGTTTTGAATCTGAGACCCTGTAGCTTAGCTTGATTGCTCAGTTCCATGAGTATAGGAGAAGATTATGATTTAACTCAAAGACTTTTTATTATTTTTATACTTATTCCGGTAATTCCACTGATTATCAACCCAGTTATCAATGCCTTGGTAGCCCAGGTAAACCAGTTAACTCCACAATGACAAATTATGACAGCAGTTTGATGGAAGCACAAGGCCCCTTGCAAAATACCCAACAAAGATGGTGAAAGTCAAAGCAAATACAGATTTCAGAAGCTGAATCCATGAAGCTGGAATCCAATAAGATTCTGTTATCTGTCCAAGACAAGCACTACAGCATGCAAGATTTATGTCTACATCGTGCAGAATTTTTTCACTCTCCTATGAGAGACCCTCTTCTTCTACATGCGAGCATTTTATGAGTAGATGCCATACATGCTCCAGATCTGACTTTTTGAAAAATTAATTTTTGAGATCTTAGCTGACCTCAGAAGCTAAAGCCTCTAGGAATTAAACAAATCACTGACACGCGGAGCTTCACACCAAAATTTAGTCATTCCTATCCTAAAGATCCAGACTGTTGGTAGAATACAATTGTAAGCTTTAACAGTGCCCTAAGGTTAGGGTGGTGCCACCACAAGTTCACTAAATTATCCCTAACCTGCACAAATGCTCTACCTTATGAGTCTATCCAGCCTCTTGTTAGAATTGAATATTGATGGCCAGCATTAACATACAGGCCTCACTATAGAAGTGTTCTAAGTGTGCTCAGGGGTGTCAAACTTAATTTCATTGAGGGCCACATCTGGGTTATGTTTGACCTTGGTGGGCTGGGGGGGCATGGCCAGGTGGGCGTGGCCAGCTCAAGGTCACTCGTGTCAGGAGTGCTTGTGGTGGCCTGAGCACCCTGCCCGTGAAAAGGAGCTCAGGAGGGCCATGTGTTTTCACCTGCAGAAGGTTGCAGGAGGCAATCGCACCCAAAAATGTAGCTTGGGGGGCCAATGCAGCTCTCCCAAGCTCTGTTTTCACTGGCAGAGGCATTGTGGGCCGGTCCTTCACTGTTTCCAGGGTGGCCCTGCAGGCCACATCTAAGAACCACGCAGCCCTTGAGCCTGATAGCCCTGCTTTAACTTGTGAGACCACAAGTGAAGGCCAGAGCTGGATATATGTTTCCTGAAAAGAATGCACTGATAACAAGGGTCAATGCATCTCACCAGTTTTAGATGCCTGCTTGCATAGGACGTTTTTCCTTTCACATTTACTCCAGAGTCTCACTGTCAAAAAAATTTCTTCTCTCAGCTCAGAGTTAACATTCCTCCTGCTTCCTTATAATGTAGCTTCACTGCTAACATTCCTCCTACTTCCTTATAATGTAGCTTCAAGATAAACATAATTATATTTACTATATCACTGCTACAAAAATCCAGATGACTACTTGTTAGCAGCAAAAAGATTAAGATGGATAAAATCTATTCCAACTTCAAGTGTTTATCCAGCTTATTGCAGGGCAGTTACAATAGGCCTAAACACTACGATCTAGGTAATGAAATACAATTCAGGGTATTTTTAAAAATTATTTATTTAAGATTTTAAAATTTTAAAAGTATAACAGTACATCTGTATATCAGATATCAAATATAAAAAGCAATTAAACCTGTATAAGAAAGCCTGAAACAATGCAAAAAAATCATTAGGTAGATTCCATAAGCTATAACTCCCTATTATAAGTTTGGCAATCTTTTTTGGAAACAGCTACGGCTTGATCTTGCAGGAGGAACAGAGTATCTCATGCTCAGAAGAAGAATTAAAATTTCTTACAACTGAAACTGAGTTCAGGCCTCCAATGAGTATATAGCAAGCACTCTAACATAGTGTGAAAAACAGAGGCAACCATTTTATATGAACATATTCAAATATGGCTTTCATAGGGAATGTAGGGTACCTGCCAACTGTAATTGGCCAGTTTGGGTCAAAGAGGAAAGCCTCCAATGTGAAATGCATAGGAGGCTTAAGCGGAATCTATAAATGGAACAAAGAGTAATGATAGTTGAGCTATAACTTAAATAGAAAATTCTGGTTCTCTCTTTGATGATCTAGGTCCTAAATCTTCTGCTTTAGACTAGCTATATTTTTGTCAGATAATAACAGCTAGTATCAGGAAATTAAGCTAGTATCAGCCAAATTAAGATTGGCTTGTTTTCTTAAGAATGACTAAATCCTGATAAGGTAAACTGAATCAAGAATGTTCTCCAAAGTTGTTTCAGCCAGGACTTATGACAACATAGACTCCACATATCCTGAAGAAGATACAGCTAATTCAATTTAATAAGAAGGTTAAGAGTGGAATGTGAAAAGTGGATTATTGCCTTTAAGAATTTATATTGAATAATTTCTAAGCTGAATGTACCCCTATAGATACTCTTCATGTACTATATAGAACCTGAATGATTACTAGAGTAGAACAAAATGAGATACTGGCTCCCCCACATCCTTACTGTATAAGCCCAACCATTGTGATTCAGGAAACATGTTTTATGACAGTATTATTGGTGAATCTAATTAAAACTGGACAACAAGTCTTGGCTTAGTAAAAGGTGTGAACCTAAAAACAATTTCATCCTAACAACGTTGTTTCTAAATAGTCTATTGTGGCATGGCATGGCCTAGCTAGGCCAATATGGATGGGTTCCTACATGGCACTTTGCCAAACCCACACAATTTAGGACTTAGCAGCACAATATAACTCTAGCCCCATGATGGGGAACCTATGGCAGGCGTGCCGGAAATGGCACGCAGGGCCATCTCTGCCAGCACGCGAGCCATCGCTCAATCTCAGTTCCACTGCATATGCGTGCGCACCTCCCACCAGCCAGCTGATTTTCAGGTATCTGCTGCTGGGCATGCACGGGGCGGGGCGCATGCAGGAGATGCATGTGTAGGGGGTGGGGATCATGCAGGGGGTTGTGTGCGCATGCGCAGAGGGGTGGGGATCGTGCGAGGAGTCCTGTGTGCATGCGCAGGGGGGCATGGGGCATGTGGGGGGTCATGTGTGCATTGCATTATGGGTGCAAGCATGCATGTGCACGCACACACGCACACGCTTTTGGCATGGATGACAAAAAGGTTAGCCATCACTGCTGTAGCCAGGGTGGGATTCTACCAGTTTGCACCTATTCGCTAGAACCGGTTGTTAAGCAGTTTGGAGAACCGGTTGTTAGAAGAAATTACTGGCCTAATCCTGTAAGGAAGGCAGGAAGGAAACATTCTGGTGTTGCTTACAGAAACTGCCTCTCCGTTAACCCTTATTACATTCTTGGCAGGACTAGACTTCCTGTCTCTGGAACTTCTCTGGAGGTTTTTTTTTCCTCCTTTGCTGGTTCTTTGCTTGTGTGGAGTGACCATTCAAAGTTACAATGGCACTGAAAAAAGTGACTTATGACCCTTTTTCACACTTATGACTGTTGCAGAATCCCCACAGTCACGAGAGGCCATGCGAGGAGATGCGTGTCTCGATGTGAGTGATGTTGACTTGGCCACGCCCAGGCAGTAACATGACCACCAAGCCATGTCCACCCAGTCACATGACCACCAAGCTACGTCCATCAACTAAGCCACGCCCACAGAACCGGTTGTTAAAAAATCTGAATCCAACCCCTGGCTCTAGCCCATGTAAGAA